GCGAGAAAAATTTATACCACGAGGCCGTCAGGCCGGAGTGGTATAATTTCTCGAGTGACTTAGAAAACATAACACACGAGTGGCATACAATGTTTTATCCAACAACTGCGAAATCATAACACAAGAGCAGCATATAAGAACTGAAAAAACTAACAGGTATTTTTTGGCAATGAGTCTTCTTTAAAACAGGATTTATAAATTTTCATTTCCTAAAGTTTTGCGTTGACGTTATAAGAGAGTGAGTTATGAACCATAACCCACTAGTGGGTTATTTCTTAATGTTTTGCGTGTACGTTATAAGAGAGTGAGTTATGAACCATAACCCACTAGTGGGTTATGGTTTATAACACACTAGTGTGTTATTTGATAGTTTACTTGTTTGAAATGACATTAATAATAAGAGACATAAGTGTCATGTATTGGATAAAATAACTTTATTCCACTAGTGGAATAATGAAATCAAGAAATACGAAATTTTTATATTATTTATTGATATTAACATTAACATTTATATTAATAGATACTCCGTTGTTTGATTTGTCTCCTATAACTTCGTTATTGTTGGTAAAAAGGTGATAATTTCCATCAGCTTGGGAACGCACGTTTATGGGTGTTTTGGCAGAATTACCAGAAACAGGAATATAAGGTGTCTCCTCTTGTAAGGGACATTTTTCCCTTGAATTTTTTTTTGCAATACTAAGCTTATTGGAAATGGAATCCTCGATATAACTTTCAGCAACAGAGGAGCTCTCCCATCCGCCATGTGTATGTACCATCGTCACCAAAAGTATCTGGGACACAAATAATGCATACTTATCTCCTGGACTAATTCTACTGTCATTCATTTCAATGCATTTAATTCAAAGTTTGACAAATATTTGACAATAAAATTCATATAATAGGACAAGAGCTAATGTGATGCTGTCCCAGTTACTTTTGGTGACGATGGTACGTGTGATTGTGGATAAAACGTTGTATAACATTCGTGTTTTAGTTGCATTTTATCCACTTAAGAAAATTAAACGCTCGAACTTCGTTCTCGCGTTTAAACATTCTTGCGTGGATAAAATGCTTCCTAAAACACTCATACAATAAATAACTAAAACCCAACTTTTGTATAAGTAAAACTTTTTGTCATGAAATATCTAAATTTCCATATACCGATATAGGACAAAATAAACTTACTACCCGGTACATACTACAGACGATTTGTAAAAGGACTTCCTGAGCCGTTGCATACACTCACTTGAGAAATAGGTCATTTTGATTGACTACTGCCTGCCGTTAGTTCTATAGGAGGATTGAAGCAGCTGTATGTACAGGGTGTTTCCTTATATTTTGACCCCTACCTACCCCTACCTATACGAGGTGGAAAAAAACTTTAAATATGAAAGTTGTAGGGTTTTATATCTATTATCTTTTGCGAATGTCAAAATGGGGAAATGACAGGTGCCAACTGTCACAATGACAAACAGTTGTATTTTTCAAATAGAACACCCTGTATATTTTTGGCTAGAGTGATGGATTTTTTTCTTCTGATTCCAAATATACCATATATGTTGATATTTGGTACAGCTGTTTTTACGCTATTCAAGTTTGAAAATACATTCACATTACCCTTAATTTAATCTGTCCTGGTTTCTTATATCAATGATGAGGCTTGCTCAATGCAATAGGGTACTTGCATGGAAAATTAAATTGATTATTGTTTATTGCAAACTGTAGGAAATCGAAAAAAAATCGTTACTTTTTTTTAATTTCGCCCAAATATGATTATTCCGGAAGTTATACAAATATTAAGTTTTGTATATATAGATATACTGAGCATGTGCAACGTCACTAATTTATATGATAAGTGACGTCATAGGCATATTTCATAGCGTTGTATCTCCGTCAATTTTTGACTAAGAAGAAAAAGAAAAAACACGTGTTAACTTATTTTCCATGGACTAACGAAATCAGCAATAAAAAAAAATGATGCAAGTACCCTATTTTAAAATTATATAGCGCAAAAACAACTGAACCAAATATCAACATATATGGTATATTTGGAATCAGAAGAAAAAAATCTATCATTTTAGCCAAAAATATGCAGGGTATTCCATTTGAAAAATGCAAGTGTTTGTCATTGTGACAGTTGGCACCTGTCATTTACCTGTTTTGACATTCGCAAAAGATAATAGACATAAAACCCGACAACTTTCATATTTAAAGTTTTTTTCCACCTCGTATAGCTAAAGCTGTAGGTAGGGGTCAAAATATAAGGAAACACCCTGTACAGGGTTATCCAACGAAAGTGCTTTTTACCTTATATACCTGTTGATTGAAGAGATACAAGAAAATGTCAAATATAAAAATTATTGGGATTTTTATGAGGAATTAGGAGCATTTATTATAAAAAAATGGAAAGTCGGGTTTAGAAAATATAGCAAAAAATGTTTCCTTTTTGGAATGTAATACCACAAGAGGTTTCAGGATTGCCGGATAATACTTTTACCTGTCACGAAACGCAGCAACACCACGACTCCGAAGGAGGAGTGGTGTTGCTGGTAACGCGTTGAGTGTGGGGTAAAAGTATTAGGTAATCCTGAAACATTGGTGTTCAAAAGGTTATACAACGAACTAAACTTTAAAATTTAAACAATTTTGTATAATAGAATTTGCTACAAAATGCCACCAAGCGCAATAATTCCAAAAGGCTTATCACTTATTAAGCCTCTCGTGTCATATGGGAATAATGTACAGTGAGTTGTATAATCTGCTTAATTTAAATGGAAGTATACCCATTTTTGAATATGTTTTTTTGGATTCTTCATTAAATTTGAGCCCTGATCTATGCTACATGCCTATAGTAAAATTTAGCAATTTTGGAGATATTGCTAATCAATGATTTTCCAAAATAAATTACGGAAAAAATGATATTTCATCGTTGGAAGCTGGTAGGAGTGGTAAGTTCCCGTCTAGTTTTGCTTATTAGGTACTATTGTTTTTAATTATCATATTGAAAATAGGATCACCCTGTATAAATTAATCGACTAAAAGATAAAAGCCTACTTCAAACAAATCAACTTTCATGTCGAACTTATTTTTTCTACCACGAATGACATAAATAAACCAGTTTAGTGGGCCTTCAATTTATAACCAATAACCTTGTACTATATCGTCTATATCGATAGTATTATTTTCCATTCTGAGAACCAGAACCATATATAAGAAAAGTGCAATAAAACATTCAAATTTCATTGAAAAGTGTCGAAGAATTCAATCGCACGTGGAAAGCATGTTGCAATTTCAGACTTGAATAACTCTTGAATTCAATAATTAAATTGAAAGATCCCATTGGTCTTTATCATCTAGCTTTTGCTTATCGAGGATTCACATTTTGTTTTCGTTAGTTTTCTTTTAAGATCGGCATTTGATTTTAAAACTACATTATAAAATAAAGATGAACTCATGAGCTGTTGGAAATATTGAAAAATTTAACAGAACAGCCTATCCAAAACCAAAATATTACACCCCCATACCCATGAAAAGAGCTAGTACTTGTTCATAACTGGTCCTAAGATTATGGTTTCAGACGTTAAACCATTGCGAATTTAGTTATTTTCATTCATTTAACGAACATCTTTTCTTCACAAACAAATTGGTTAGTACCCAGAGCTTTGACTACTTCGTGAATCGTGCCTAAATTAAATTTCAAACGAGAAAAATAATATGTAACATATTGTCACTGGAAGACTCTTGAACAGTCTATATGTATACTATTTAATATTCTCCAAATTGGGATACTCAATCCAAACAATGTATCATAATGGTAGACTTTTAAAGCAAATTATGCTAATTTGGGCCAGAAAAAAACTATAAAATCTACAAACTCCTACGGTACCTATACTTGAGGCTATTCTGGAGTAAATTTGAAGTTAATTGAAAAAAAAATAATAATAATCAGGCTATTTGGGTTTTAATTAAAGCAAACAAAGTCATGTCTAAGAAAATCCTGTAGTTTTTTTTTTGTTGAAGAACCTAAATAATGTAAATTTTTATATGTTTTATGATAATTTTTTTCTTCTAGATAATCGAACCTAAATATGTAGCTACTTTTTATAAGCACTAATTTTATTTCAAAATGTTGTTGCTGCATTTACCCGATAAACATTGTTAAAAAAATTGTATTGTTTTTCGTTAAAATAAGTATGCAGTCGATAATTGTTCTTATATTTTGATGATGTTTCATCATACTTCTTATAGAAAACCCCATACCGCTAACTCTTGTGGAAAGTGTATTATTGGGTCAACGGCAGTCGCGTGATCAAAAATTATCATCAGTTATCGCACTATTAGGAAAATACAACAATAAAAATATATATTGGAAGATACAAGTGTATTTCAAGACATGTATTTAGAATTTAAAAGGAGTTACCGTCCTACATCCTTTTATAAATTCAAAAATAATTAAATGTTCTAAAAGTAAAGTACCTGTAGGTACCTACAGTGAGTCTTCTGGATCAGTCGAGAAAGCATCTCTTTAATAATGCACTAGTTAGAAAGCTAACGACTTTTGTCTTTATCAAGTTCAAATCCAAGGTAGGTAATTTGAAGATTCAAAATTTCAAAAATTTCTCAAAGTAAAGTAAAAATATATAGGATAAAGAAATATTTTGAATTAATAAAATTGCAGACAGATAAAAATATCATAGTAATCTAAAATCTAAATCTAAAATTTTTCAAGTCTAAAAATTTCGTTGGTTTTTTTTCAAAATAGGGTACTTCCCTACCAATATTCAAACATTTTTTACATTTGTTGATGCTGTTTTAAAACATAAATAGGTAAATCTGAAAGAACTCAAAAATTTAAAAGTTTCTTTGAAGAACCTTAAACATTTTATTAACTTTTTAATTAATTTGTTATTAATATTATAAAAAAAAATATATTTAAATAAATAGTTTCTACACGCCGATCTCCGCAAATATTTATCTATCTATGCATATCATAAATTTACCTGTGGTTCTTTTTGATTTCAGACCGAAGAAAAATCGCGATCAAAATTGTTACCACTCGCGCACCAAGTCAATTTAATCCGATCAGTAACACAACGATTCTGACACTAGACTGAAAAGATGTGAAAAATATTCGCACCTTGACTTAGCCACTTTAAGTTTAACAATCTTCTTATTCAATGGATATATTGTTAACGTCAAATCTCCCTCTACTTCCCAAATTCTGTTATTGTTTTTTTTTTTTTTAATGTTTAATTGTTTTACAATTTTTGTTGCTTGTAGAGCAAATCATTTTGAACTAACCTTACTCTACTTATCATTATTTATTTACTTATCGAATCATTATACGGTCTTTTTTTACTGGCCTTTTAACTCTTGACAAACACAAACAAATAGTAAGGTACCTACTTGAATTCGCTATAAAAACATAAAAATTTAAGGTGTTTGGTATTTGCCATATAAAAACCTCTATGTATAAGGATATATTTAAACCATTGCATACATGTAAACAAGGAAAGGTAACATAAATTTAGATATTATATACTTCAGAAGAGGGAAAATTCCGAAATTTTGACTTAACTCTGTTAAAATATTTCAGCTAATCCAAAATCAAAATATAGGAAACAGCATCTAAGTATCTGTCTGATTAAGGATATTTTTAGAAAGCAAGAAGATACCTTTTCAACGCGTTTGATGTTGAAGAATTCTTTCATGTATAACAATTTTCAAAATGTTGATGAATTTTAAAACTCATTGAAAATATTGAATTCAACAAATTACTGATTGAAGTATAGAAGAACAAGCAGATTCTGTTACGGAAAAAAAAGAAAATATTTTAAAAAACAGAAGCGTGTAAGTGAAACTGAAAGAAGACAACTTTCTTTCATACGAATTAATTAACACGACCGGAGGTTTGCCTTTTAAAAAATTTATTATTACAACTTAAACTAACGGATTACAAATTAAAGTTAAAATATGTATATCTAAAAGCAGACTGCCCGCGCCTGGTTGGGATCTTCTATATATTGAGGTTGAATATGCAACCTCAGCATCTGCAACTTCAGCATTTCTGGGAATTGACTACCATATAACTCCTCCACCGTCAGTTTGAACTATATCTGGAACAGGGGTAGTTTAATGGGTCTGGCTTCCGTCGAGGGTGGCTTCTTCTTCTGGAACCATTTTGTGCATCCTGTATATTTCTGTAATAAATGTAGACAGATTATAACGAGGATGAAATAAATGATAATTGTCCATAGACTTGGTACTCTGGGTATTTCGCTGAGAAGTCTGGGCGGCTGGTTTTCTTCTATCTTGTGTTGAAGTTCATTAAGTTCGTCTAGCTGAATATCTTGAAGTTGAAAACTTAGGTTCAACACAGGCAGGTAGATTGGTTGGTCGTCTAGGTCGGGAAATACTATTGGTTGCTTCTTGGTTTCGATAAACTTTTCTTAATTGGTAATTGTTAAGTCATCGATTTTGGCTTGGCAACGAGAGCAGATAACTGCCATGGATTTTAACATGTTCTTCTTGCAGAGGACATTTAAGTTGGCTAGAGACCTCGTTCGGTAGGATCAATATCCATTGATTGGGTCCTTCTAATTGCTTGATTATAGGTCGGGTAACAATACAATACAATACAAGTCGTTTATTTCCATTGACAATACATACATAATATCGTATAGGAATAGTCAAAATCTTAATCCTAACCTAACTAAGAGATAAAAGAAAAACAATATAAAAAAAGACATGAAATGAAAAAACTAACGATTACAAAATTAATTTGGGATTAGCTTTTATACCGGGTGGGGCACGAAAAACTTTCCACCCAGGTTTTCTCAGGTGTTAGGTGTTTAATTAAAAATCGCTCAGACACGTCAATTTTTGTTTTTTGGGGGACACATTTTATTGGTATTTTAACCCCCTACCTGTCAACCCCTAAGTGGGGGTAACAGGTACCCCCAAAATTTCAAATGGAAAGAGGGGTCGAGTGATATGTCATTTGGTAGCTATTTTCATTGAGATTATATTCCCGAAGTTTTAAGTTGCTACTATCAACCCTGCCGAAATGGCGGCATGTCAAAGTTGGGATAAATGCTTTTTTTCGATAATCTAAGCTGTATAGTTTTTACCTGTCACACCTATGCGTAGGTAAAAGGTAAAAACCATATAGAATTTTTCCTACAGCCGTGCGGAAAAATCGATTTTCCGCACTGATATGCGTGCGGAAAATGAGTTTTCCCGCACGGTGCGGTAAAACTTTTTTTTTTTACATATCAGTGCGGAAAAAGTTTTTCCGCACGGCTGTCAGTGCGGAAAAAATTTTACCGCACTGATATGTCAAAAAAAAAAAAGAAAAATTTTACATTTATTCGCCTGTAGGAAAAATATTGTACCTAACACTTGCGGAAAAATTCATTTTCCGCACTTGTTAGGTAAATAGCTATTTCCATTGATTTTTCCTAACTTTGACAAGCCGCCATTTCGACAGGGTAAATAGTAGCAACTTGAAACTTCGGGAATATAATCTTAATGGAAATAGCTATCAAATGACGTATCACTCGACCCCCCTTTACATTTGAAATTTTGTGGGTACCTGTCACCCCCACTTAGGGGTTCACAGGGAGGGGGTGAAAATACCAATAAAATGTGTCCCCCAAAAAACAAAAATGGACGTGTCTGAGCGATTTTTGATTAAACACCTAACACCTGAGAAAACCTGGGTGGAAAGTTTTTCGTGCCCCACCCGGTATAATAATTGGTAAGTATTCTTCTACCCGATAAAAAGTTTTGTCTAATAAAAATGTTTTTAACATATGTTTAAATTGGTTTAAAGATTTACAATTCTTAATGTTGTTCGGTAACTTATTAAAAACTAAGGGCCCAATATTTTGGGGAGAACGAAAGGCCAGTTTGGATTTACAAATTTAATATTGGTGTGAAGGTTAGAACTATTTCTAGTGTTTAAGTTATGAATATCACAGTTTTTTTTTAAATTTGTCACAGTTGAAAACAAATAGACAAATTTCGTACAAAAATAAAGACGGGACAGTTAAAATATTAAATTTTTTAAAATATTCTCTACAGCTGTGACTTTTTGGTATTCCTGCAAGATAGCGTACACACCTTTTTTGAGCAACAAAAACATCTTCAGAAAGGGTTGACCAACCCCAAAAACAGATACCGTATCGTAGCCTTGCATCGACATTTGCAAAATAAACCTGAATAAGCTGTTCGATTGTTAATACTGTTTTTAGTTGTCTTAAAACGTAACTTTGAGAGTTAACCTTAGGTATTAGGTATTCACAATGTGTTTTCCAGTTAAGATTTTTATCAATATAAAGACCAAGAAATTTTGTGCTATCGCTAAATGGAAGCCTTTTGTCATCCAATTTAATTTCCAATTCATTCACACATTTTTGAGAATGATGAAATCGCATTAGCGTTGTTTTGGATGGGTTCAAGTAAAGAGAATAATCAGAGAACCATGTATCAATTTTTTTAATTAAATTACCACAATTATATTCTAGGGCAGTATCCGAGTGACCTGAAGTTAAGGATGAAACATCGTCTGCAAAAGCTGCTAACAAAGCTTCAGGATCAATAGTGTCGAATTGATTTATAAACAAGATAAAGAAAATGGGTCCTAAAATCGAACCCTGTGGTACTCCGGTTGAAATATTTAACGTACTTGAAGTAAAAGTTCTAATGTTGTTTCTTAAGTCAATATTCTGTAAAGAAACATACTGTTGTCTACCTGTTAGAAAAGATTTTGTCCAGTCGAAAGACCCACCAATAAAGCCATACCTATCAACTTTTTATGATCAACACAGTCGAATGCCCTGCTGAGATCGCAAAAGATCCCAACAGGGCACTCCCCCGCATCAACCAACTCTATAAGCTTCTCATAAAAGAAATGCACCGCTGACATTGTACTTTTACCATTTCTAAATCCATGCTGGTTCTCGGACAAGATCTTATTATTTTTTAAGTGTTTAAGCAGTCGATCTGAAAATGCATATTCGAAGATTTTTGAAATAACTGATGGTACAGTAATCGGTCTATAATTCTCGACTTTGCGCTCGTTTTCCCTTTTGAATATGGGAATAACTTTTTGTGACGGAACTAGCTATTACCCTTTTGTGGACTCTAGTCATTACCGCACCAGGGATGTCAAAAGTTTTTACTTTGACTGACTGTAAAAATTAACCATTAGGTGTTGGATCATTTAAGCCTTGTATTGAACTAGGGGTGCCTTGATTCTCATTTATACAAATAAAACGCTGAAATAGAATAGTTATCAATTTAATTGATAAATGAAGTTAATTCGGTTTAATCAGCAATCAAATCCTATCTAATAATTCCTATTTGGACGTCCAGTCGAACTACAAATTTTATACTAATCTAAAGTAAATAAGCGAGTAAATAAGTATCTTGATTTATAAAAATATTGAAATTTCATAATAATAATATCAATTATGGTTAAATGTTCAATGAACGAGAACACAAATTAACTAATTAGATTTACGAGAGCACAACACAAATAATTCGTGAACTTCATTCAGCTCACTGTATTCACAAAATGTTTATAATCCTTGAAAGTTCTTTTGTTTATTGAGAGTTAATAATTTGAGCACTTTTCTGCTGAAGTGTGTAAACAATAAGTGCAAGAAAAGTCTATATATATATGCTCAGTTTCTATATACAAATTTACAAATTAATGTTCATTTCACGAGTGTGAAAACCAAATTTCTGTATTAAAGGTTAGAACAAACACTTCAATTTATAGTGCATTTCAACCGAATCAGTATTCAGTATTTATTAATTTATTGTTCGACTGTTTTGAGAAATTGAAACGGTCTTACTTGCTTAATCCAGTTCATACCGGTAAATCCATATAGTGATTATTTATCCATTTATCACTATTCGTAGTAATTTGCACTGTCAGCTAAGGGATTTTCCACTAAGAGAGAGAACACAATGATATACAGAGTTGAAGCCCGTCGAGAGTGAGACAGGAATAACCTTAAACAGGCGTAGTAGAGAATTTTGCTAGGTCCGAGATGACTTGCAACAATTTAGGGGTTAATTACATGAATTGTAATCA